AAAAAAAATAGTGAGTCAGACGAGTGGTCAAAGGGGCCGCTAGTTATTGAAAAAAACTGTCTCTTTTGGTGTTCGGCCAGGGCAAAGTGATTTTAATAAAAAAAATTAATAACGTTCCTGGCGAGACAGCAGTGGCTGGTACAACAAAAAAAGCGGTAATAAATTCAGTAATAACAACCGCTCGAGTAACGATAAAAAAAATGAATTTCGTAAAATCAAGTGTTTTTAGAGTCTAAGAGGAAAAAAAAGTGTATATTTCAGATAAGTAAAACTTTATTTATTATCGACTAAAAAAAGTTGGATAAATTAAGCAATTTTTGGATCTTATAGGTCATAAAAAAAAATCTAGCGCCCTTGCTCAGAACATGATTAGCAACGGCAAATCAAAAAAATTCTCTCCCCGATTTTTTGAGGGGTGAGAAACGGATGTACAAAAAAAAGAGAAACGGATGTACACAGGCTAGACTTGAGAGAATTTACTAAAAAAATTATTGCGTCTCTAGGTTTTACCAAGGGCGCCAGGACAACCAAAAAAATTTTCGAATGACATTACGATTGTATTTGTTATAGCTTTGAGAAAAAAAGAAATTTACTTATCTGACTTCTTGTGTATATCTTGAGTGTAAAAAAAACTCCCTTGGCGATTGCATAAGCGGACGGTACAGCCTGGTACAAAAAAATACTGAAGTAAACACGTACAAGTTTTGACCTTTTGAAGTGAAAAAAAATACAGACCAATCGCCAAGGGAGTTCGGGATACACTCAAGATATACACAAGAAGTCAGATAAGTAAAATTCTAAGATTCTCAAAGCTATAAAAAAAATATCGTTTAAATACTAATCGATATTGTATTGTGTGATTGCGAAAAAAAGCGCGTTACGTAGTTTTACGTCACTAAATGTAATTAACTTAAAAAAAATTGTTCATTGTGGAGACCTTGTATTATCGGAAGGACCATAAAAAAAAAAACCATATAATTGTTGGTGATCAACTCTGTAATTCTGATAAAAAAAAACGATGACAATAAAGTGTTTGGAACTGTGGTCGTGTTTCAACATAACAACAAATACAATCGTAATGTCATTCGAAAACTGTTATGGTTGTCCTGGCGCCCTTGGTTTTACATAGTATTTATCAAACTTATATAGCGTATTTGCCGCGTTTCTATAAGGGTCACTTCGAGGTCACGTAAGCATAGTAAAAAAAATTGGGTAAAATTTCAATAGAACGGAAATTGCGATGACAGATAAAAAAATTGTGTTAATAAACAACAGCGGGATAGCTGAACTCGTTGAAGGCGTTTATCTCGAAATCAATTTTAGCGTTTTTACGCTACTTTGCGAATTAGCTCCCGGAACACCGGATTTCAACCAATAGCACTCAAACTTTGTAAAAAAAATGACGTATCACTCTTGTCAAAAAAGGTTTTTCCGTTCTTCCGATAAACGCGCGTACTCTGATGCGCGAGCATGCCATATATCTTATTTGGAAACGTTTAGATAGATTTGAGATCGAGATGTTAATGGCTAGTTCCATATTTCTTTTAGTTTTGCTGTTTTGCGTTGGTAACATTGTACGTACATTAAAAAAAAAGCTTATGTGAATTGTTTCTATTGTACGTACAATGGTACCAAAAAAAAATAGCAAAACTAAAAGAAATATTTGGAAACGTAAGCACGGAAAAAAAAAGCAGTAAACGTGAGAGTTTACCACTGAATTACTAAGGAAATGAAAGCCAACAAATGAAAACTGAACAACCAGAATACTTTGTCTAGTTCTTTTTTGATTCAGTTTTATATTATTACTTAATATTATATGTTTCGCTAAAAGCGATATTGCTGTTCAACTTGACTGCTACGTACCCGAAACAGGCTAAAACTAAACTATGATATGATATTTAGTACTTTTTATATTTAACATATACACTTTTTCATAAAACTTCGAATCAGTTTCAGAAACTTGCGATCCATTGATCCATTTAGATGAACATAAGCTGATACAATCAGTGCCCAAGTTTTAAGAAATGCGTTGGTGCCTAAGTCTCGTAGGAAAGTCAATACAAATACTTGTATTGATCCACAAAATTGCTCAAACGTAACGTAACGAGTTAGCTGTTATAACTACGCAGTTAGTAAGGTATGGGGAAGGCCATAGGTCATGGAAGACCACTAATTTATATGAAGGGTTGTTTTACTTACTGGCACTGCAACTGTATCCATCACCTTGGTATCCACTGTTACAGCGGCAAGTGTAAGATCCAACAGTATTAGTACATTGTGCATTTGCATGACAAGAATGGACTCCGGACGAACATTCATCGGTATCTAATATATAAAGCGCAATATGTATAGTTTCAAAACCTCGGTTGGCTGTTTTACTGTAATCGGTTGACATCCTGCATTGTTCAATGATCAGGTATCAAACCTGAGACCTTTGCTAGGGTCATGGACCTTTATGTCTGATAAAGGTCGCCCTTATTAGTATTCTTTATATATTAGAATACTAATAAGGAATGTTTTATCAGATATAAAGGTCCAAATAGGCAAAAAAAATTGGCCTGACTAACTCATTAATTACGTATGAGTTTTTGAAAAAAAAAACCTTTCTCAATCAAAAGTGAAGTTAATTTCTATGCTAAAGAAAAAAATTCGTATAATTCTATAAAAATGTTTGGAA